AGTGCTTGTCTGGGATTTCTATTGCCTGAAACCTTATAACTTTAATAAGATATAAACCGTGTCGCATCCATCTGCCGTTGCTCAGCAACCCGTCAGTAATGCCCAAAACAAAGCTCCCCATGTGGAAGGAACACTAAATCCTACTGTGGGATAATTCTGCTTCCAAAGCTGTTGTTTCCTTCACTGCTAACAGCCCTGTCCTGGTAGCGAATCCTCCAACCTGTGGCAGCAGTGCACACTGCGCATGAGTGACTCTCCTGTCACCTTTGCCCCTGTGGCCAGGGCTGGAGGGATTACTTTGCTTGCCATGCTAGATGTGCTTAGGTTATGTCACAAGAATAAATGTCTGCTGTTATTTTTAAAAATCGCAGGGCACTTGTATTCACATCCTGCATTAAATTTTCCAATACAAGCCAGGAAATACACTGTTGTTGTTCTTTGTTTGTTTGTTTTTTAAGTCAGAAAGGCCAATGAATTGTATCCTTTGGTGCTTCTCAGCTAGATCAATAACTCAATTTCTCAGTATTCCTCTCAGGTGCAAAATGATCGTTGCAACACTGCATGTCACATGCATTTTCTTAGCAGGTTATTCATGCTGAAGCTTTGGAATTGGTGTTAATGTGCATGTTGCAGGGGAAATCAAAATAGGAATGGGCCACTCAGTATCTTTTGGATTCTGATCACAGGGTTTCGGAATATGTACTAGGGAAAATGGCAGGCAGTGAGTATAAAAGATGTGGCGTGAGTATATATGTGTGAAGGTGCAGGTGAAGGCAGGATCAGCCAAAGAACCAGGCTCCCTTCTTCTGAGAACCTCTCCATTAGAGCATAAAAATTGGAATTCTCTCCCTCTCCTTTTCCAGCCGTAATGTCCCACAGTCCTTCTGCTGCTTAACTCCCACCCCTCTTGAGTTTCAGATACTACAGACAAAACCAAATATCCATTTCCACTGGAAATATTTAGTGAGGCATGACATGCTTGGCATTTATTTATGCTACTCTCTTATAGTGGTTTGTTTTGACAGTCATAATTGAGGGCTAAATTAGCATCAATAGCATCCCTCAAGTTTCCTGCTGGCAGCCAGACACGAGTCAATCAGCAAGGGATGTGTTGAAAGTTGCCAGGCAACTACACATGGTTAAACAGGTCCAGTGAACTCAAAACAACTTGGAATAGAATCTGTTTTCTCTGTGGATTTGCAAGTTGGTTTTGCACACTCCTCTATGTCCAGAGGAAGGTGCGTGGGATGTAGCTTTTTGTTCATCTTGTTTAGGCTTGCATGAGCTTCTCAGCTGGCTAACATAGAATCGTAGACTTGGAAGGTTCCCCAAGGGCCATCTAGTTCAACCCCCTGCAATGCAGGAATCTCAACTAGATCGTACATGACAGATGGCCATCCAACCTCTGCTTTGAAACCTCCAAGGAAGGAGACTGCAATTAAACAAAAATCTGGTGTGACCTCTAGGGATTCCTCCCCTAGCCTTTTGAGGACACAGTCTTATGTTCCCCACCCCAGATTTGTTAGTATAAAGGGAGAAATGTGAGAGATTGGTGTGGCATAAAAAGGGTCAGCCATAAGGGCTCCATAGACTGCATCTAACTGTGTTAAACCAGACCTAGTGATATTAATGGATCTAGTATAGCCATGTCCATCCATTTAGTGGGCATCCTTGTAGTACTCTCACAAAAGTGGTCTCATATAGGGATGGGTGGTACGGTTCCCATGGCAATTGCACACCTGACGTGCACTGCATGGCTGGACTCTTTCTGCCATCTGGGCTAGTGGTAGTCTGCATGGGCACTGACATGCCAGACACTTGAAAACCAGTTGTGCACAGAAGCAGCATTAGCTTCTATCCACAGATAGGTTTTCTTATTTTCATGCATCTAATTAACTAGGCCAGTGCAAAGGAATTTGAAGGTAAAAAGGAAGTGAAAGGAAATTTGGAGTTATTAGCATTACAGCAAGCCCTAAAAGCTGCAGTCAGAAGTCTCTCCCATCCTGACCCAGAGATGCCAGAAATAGAGCCAAGAAACTTCTGCAAATAAACTAGATGCTCTATCACTGAGCCATGACACTTCCCCGTATTGTGACTGTATGTTTCCCCACCTTTTTTTGCTAATAGCAGCTCTGGAAAGGGTTAGGATAGAAGCTGTGGGGATGGGGGAGAGAAAGGGTTAGGGAAATTTACTGATGCAATCACCGATTGGCTTCATGTCTATTTGAGTGCATAGGCTTGTGCCAGAGATTTAGTAACTCCCTCTCCTCAGGGCCTGAGTTAGGAATCTGAAGCAAAGAATTCTCAGAGTTCTCAGCAAACTACAATTCCCAGCATTCTTTAGGAGAAGGTATGTGCTTTTGGTTTTGTTACCAGGGCATGTATGCTATCCACAGCTCTTCCTCTGTCTGATACACTGAACAGCGGGATGGCTGCATATGAAAGCGAACTTGATTTTAAGTGTCTTTCAAAACTGACCAAACACATACTCAGAGACTGTCTAGAATGTAATGGAAAGAGCTGTTTAGTCCTTTCCCCCATTTGGCTAGCGCCCTCTCTCTTTCTATCCGTCCGTCTGTCTGTCTGTCTCTCTGGCTTTGCTTCACCGCAGCTGCTGTTCTCTGACAGCAGAATGATAGATGTGCTTTGCGCCAGAGGGAGGAAGGCCGCCAGCTCAGAAGGCCGGCGTATGCCACCCATCAGCCTATTCAGTGGATGCACTGAGCCGTGGCACTGTGAGGATTTTATCGGCCTTTAATGCATTAACCTTTCATTAGGCACGGCAGCCCCTGACTGTGCCTCGCACTCTCCGCCTCTGCTCCTGCCATGGCCCTAGGTATGCCACGGAGGCTTGTCATCGGAGGGAAACCCCTTTTGTCCCTACTCAGGGATCAAATGGTACATTCTCGCAAACCCGGTGAACCTCATGCCTTCTTTTCTGCACATGCACAAAGTTCCGGACTTGGGTCTGCTTCCTTGTGCTGGTGTAGAGAAAATCGTTTACCTTCCCACCGCAGCTCCCTCGGCCTGAAACAAGATGAGTGCCACACCCCATAGACGCCTTTGAATGGACTTAATTGTCCAGTAGCCCTTCACCTTTTTTTTTTTTACTTTATCTTAGAGAAAATTGTGCTAGAGAAATTGTCCTCCGACCTTCTTCTCTGCTCTAATCTGCACGCACCCCCACCCCCACATGGCATTTTGTGCCATGGAGAAATCCTGTTAGAATCTGAGAGAATACAACTGATTGCAGTCCAGATGGCAAAGAACAGCTTATTCTGATTCTGGGAATGGGAGTAGATGTGTTTCCTGCAGCCTTTGCTAACCTAGTGCCCTCCAGATGTTTTGTACTGTGACTCCCAGCCAGCACGGCCATTGGGAGTTGCAGTCAAAACACCTGGACGGAACCAGGTTGGCAAAGGCTGCCTTAGGAGGTGTGTGCTTTCTGCCCTTGTTCTGAAAGGGGGCTTAGCTTAGCTGATGAAGGCTGAGGTCTAACCCTAGCCCCCTTTTAAGGGCACCCACAAACACTTCATTCCCCCTGCTTCCTGACAACTCCCACCCAATTCATCAGAAACGAGACCACTGCTATTGGGGTGGATGGTTAGGAAATGGGTGGTACAGGATGGAAGTATGAAAATGTGGGGTGAAGAGAAAGAGTACGCATTTCCACCCTGGTTGTCCAGCTTTAATTTCTGTGTTTGGGTGGGTGGAGTTAGCATAGTGGCTTTGACCTCTCCCCCCCCCCAAAAAAAAACCCACTGTCGAGAGGAAGCCTCTTTTCATGCTTTGTCTGAAACATATGCAATGGGACTTTGCACGTCTGCTTTGCAGAGAGAGAAGTGTGAGCTCCACACAGATCTGTAATTACTGTATCTCCCCACAGATGCAGTGTGCAGATTCCCACTTCACACCTTCCTAGGAAGTGTGAAAGAAAGCGGGGGTCATTTGTACTTCGTCTGCTCCTGCTTATTGCTAACATCTGTAGTAGTCCTCAGTCTTGTGGTGGCGGTTGTGTTCTTCATAGCGGATGTATCCCTGCCCATAATTAGTTCCCTGTCCTCGTCTATCAAATGGCTCCTATTCCTTTAAAAAACAAAACAAAACAACCTCTGCTTTTTCTTCCTTCCCTGAAATTTCCTCCAGAGCACGTATATGACACCACTTCTCCAGATCGCTCCTCTTCTTCTGTGAGGCTGCTGGCTTAGCCCAGCTTCCTCCAACCTTCAAAGTACCCATTAGCCATTAGTCCTTGTCTCGTTTGGAAACTAGTAACCGAAATGAATGCATATTCTTCTGCTGTGAGCTGCCTCCATTTTCTTACCCTCCTTTTTTGTCTCCTCTGTTGTCGAATTTTGGTTTATAAGCTTCTGAGCAGGGATCTGACTTTCATTTTGCAAAGCAGCCCACACATTTTAGTGTTGCTTTGTAAATAATTGCTCAATGCATGGGATGCTAATAGCACAGAGACAGGGGTGGTTGATGACAAATTGGCTGAGTTAGTACTTCTGCTATAAACATCCATTATCATTTGTGTTATTTGTTCTGCGAAGATGCTGAGAGGACCTCTTCTCCCTCTCCTGGCCTCCACAAACTTCAGATAACTGAGCACTGCACTGTACTGTACAGTTCCTGAATACAATTTGTGCATTTTCGGAGCTGTGTTACCTGCTACGTTCTGGCATGGCTTGATCACCCTTTGCTAGCATAGGTGGATAACAGAGTTTCTGTATTTTACATATGCCAGAATAATAAACTCTGTTAACTCTTTCTGCAACCACTAAAAACAGCTTTCTCACACGAGTCCTGCTCTCTCCTGCTTTCCTTCAAAGCATTTATAAATGAAGAGAGATCATACGAAGGAGTGGGGCAAACCATTGTCCCCCTGGGTGGGGACAGTAAAGAGATCCACTCAGTTTTCTTTGTTTTGAAAGCTGTAGCAATTTAACATTTATGGGTTATGGAATAACGTTTGTCTTCTTGTGGCACTTCTCTTGCAGGTAGAAGCAGAAGACCACCAAGATGTGGTGGTCTATGACCAGAGCACACGGGATGCCAATGGACTGGCGTCTGACAGTTTTCTCTCCATCCTCCTAGGCAAGCTGGACAGCTGCTTCCACAATGTCTCCATCCTCACAGGTAGGAATTGGTGGCAGCCATAATAATAATAATGATGATGACGACAATAATAATAATAATAATAATAATAATAATAATAATAATAATAATAATAATAATAATATAATGGGAGTCAGTCCAACAACATCTACAGGACCACATTCTTCCCACTCCTATGCTACTAGATACCTTGACTGCCTTGAGCAGGGATTCAGCTAGGATTCAAGAACTTTCAGACCCATGGAAGGGACTTCAAAGTGACCATCCTGCCTGATGCGGGTGCCTGATGATGCCACTGAGCTTAAAGTATCAGATCGAGAAAATAGACCGTGTTCCTACAAAACTCAAGCACTCATATGATTGTACCTTCTAGGGCTTCTTTGCCATATACCTTTATTCCCAAGTTCTAGTTGCCTTGCTTAACTCTGTTAAGCTATTGTGTGAGAGCAAGATTCATGGACTTCTCATTTGCCCTCTTATATTGGACAGGATTTGATGTTAAATATGGATATGTGTTGTGGACTCAGTTAGGGACTCTAAGGATACGGTTTGTTCCATAGATTAAGATTATCTTGTGATTTTTATTCAGTTGCTAATTGTTATGACCCTTTGGGGTTTTGTAATCTGTTCCTCTACTTAGAGATGTAACGTATCCAGCAATATAAAAGCCTAGAGAGAAAAATGTTTTTGGAGGTGAGGGGAATGGAAATTGAGGGAGGGGGAAATAATGGAAATATACAGCATTTTTATCCAACCAAGCTTAAGTTAGGAACGTGAAATCCATTATGTATAATGTAGGTAGCGGGGGAAAGTGTGGTGTTTGGCATTTTTATGGAATGTGAAAATATAAGTTCTTAATTTTAATTCAAGCAATAAATAGAAATATTCTGCTTCTGTGAGCTTTTACACCCTAATGTGCCTGAGGAATTGTCTGCCACAAAATGTTGCAATGGCCACAATGCAAATAGCTTTACGGGGTATAAGTCAAAGGCATAGAGAGTGGAGGCCCATCAATGGCTAGTAGTCATGGTGGCTAGATAGAACCTCGCATGTTCAGATGTAGTGCACCTTTGAATATTGGGGAACACCATTGGAAGAGAAGGCTGCCTGATTTTGGCCACGGACTGGTTGAATAATATGCTCTGAAGGAAGCAGGAGTATCTATAGACACCTATTCCACTGGCCTGTTCCACTTACCATGGAAAAGTTCTGTATGCTGTGCTGGGGGTGGGCAGAAGGATTGCTGCATCGATGCTCTACAAATCCCATTTTGCCCAGTAGAGGGGAGTGTTGCACATCTGCAGGAATCAGCCTGAGCCAGTCTGTGGCAGCGAGCCCAGGCTTACTGAACATGAGCGCATTGTCGTGCCACTGCAAAGCTTTCTTCTTTCTGTGCCTTTCCCTCTTACCTGTGCCATAACTGCTGGCATAGACCTTGCATCTTGGCTCTTGTTTGGCGTCATTTCCATGAAACTAGTAACCAACAGGGTTTGTAGAACTGGACAATCAAAGTAGAAAAGTAGGTAGGATTTCAGGGAGTCAACAAATCTTCCCCGCTAACCTTGTTAGTATTTACAGAGTGAATGAATGAGCAGGGCTCTTTTCCAGAACACTTTAAAAAAATAATCAATGGATTCATTCGGAAAGAGGAAAAGGAGGGTGGCGGCGGGGGGTTCGTTGCAATGAATCAGGGTCCCTGAGGGACTCTTATCCCAAACCACAGCCCATATGGTAAAGTGGCTAAGTAAGCATGATATTCTAATTATAGCTTTCTGCAGAGTGTGTACAGTTACAGTGCTAGCGAGCTCCAAAGGAAAGGCGTGTGAATGAATGAAATCTCCCAAGTGGACAAAGAAAGGAAAAGGCAGATGAAGATTAAACCCACTTATTCATTCCATAATTCTGGGAGCCAGATCTGCTGCTTATATTGTTACCTAGCACTCTGGGCCAAGCGACACATGGCATTTACTCCATAGCTTGCTTTTGAGTGCAACCATTTTTTCCAAAGACTGCCGTCCTGCCCCCTCCCCCCACCACAATATGGGTTCAGATCCTAGCATAGGAATTAGGGAGCTTTAACACATGCATCCTCATGCAATGGTCCTAAACTGGATCAGGGACTCTCATGCCTGCAATTTGCATGGGCAGCTTCCAATATCAAGAATAAAATTTTTATCCCCCCTGTGCAAATTGTAGAAGAATAACTTGTGGTGCTCATATCCCTTTGAAAATAACAGGCAAAACATCTGTTCTCCCCCCAAAGAAATAAAACACAGATAAGGAAATCAAGCAATCAACACCCTCCAAAACAGAAAGCACCCACAGCAACTATTCAAAGAGGCCCCCCAATCTCAGTTTTAAAATCATTAAATTTGGGAGGAACAGGGAACCCTGGCAGATGCCAAAGGGGCTGTCTCAGAGTGCCACATGCCTTGATACACAGGGTGCCGCAATAGACACCCCAGTACTAAAGTCCTTTCTCCGTTCAGCTAACTTTTCCACATTTATGTCTGGCATTAAAGTCAAGCAAATTAGTTACAATATAGCACGTGAAATGTTTCTGTTTTAGTCCTTGCATTATAATGTGTACTGCCACCATAGATTGAACAGAGCTGCTGTTTATATTGCTTTGTTTATATAGTTTGTTTACAAACTTGTCCATCCAGAAATGTCACTTGTAGTACCAGGTTTGTGCCATGATGGTTGTTTTGTGAAATGTTGCATTTATCTGGATGCCTTGAATGCATAACTGCTTTAAGTGGCGTACACATTTGATGATAGTGATGATGATGATGATGATGATGATAATGTCACAGGTGCGGAGAGGGGGTAGAATTTCTTTAGATGTGGGATCACAGGAACAATCATGTTATGCAAGGAGAATCTCTTGGAAGCAATGTGAATAAAAATCTCAGAAATACAGTCAGGGTGTCTTCACTGCAGGATTTTAGTCCGCTCCCAAGAGTATATTTGATCTCTGGAGAATAGTTCTTACCATGAGCTTGCTGCATGCTATTGATAAGTTGAATAATCTTTTGTCCAACACCTATAAAATGGAGAATGCAAATGTCAGTGTCTTATCTGTTGGTGCCGGAGTCCTTCTGGGCAGAGACTGTTGCTCAGCAACAAACAGCATTTGGCATAGCAGAGCTCTGATGTTATATTGGCTAAAGATGCTTACACTCGCTACAGTATATAGCTGTAAAATAATCGCTAGCTTAGGAAGATAGTATCTGTAATGATGGCTTTAGAGTCTGCTGCCCATGCCCTGCACTGCCTTAGATTTGATTGTTACAGAACACAAGCAGTGGGGAGAGGAGGAAGGTGGTGATTCAGCCCAGTGTATTTGCTGTGCTCTGAACAATTTTCACATGACAGCAATTCCCCATGGAAGGAGAACGGATGTAGGCAAGGCAGGACTTGCGGGCGGCAGACTGTGTGCCACGGTTGCAAGGTCACTGTGGTATAAATCAAGGACAAGCAGCCCCTGCACAAATTACGTACATAATTCTGGGTCTTCCGTGAGCTTGTTTAAGGTGTGGGGCTTTGCCAAGCACATCCAGAGTATTTGTAATTTACCCTGAACTCCCAGAAATCCCTTCTGCTTTCCTGGGAGTAGAGTCTGTAAAACAGCTCACTGGTCATACATTTCAGTACAGTGGTACCTCAGGTTAAGTACTTAATTCGTTCTTGAGGTCTGTTCTTAACCTGAAACTGTTCTTAATCTGAAGCACCACTTTAGCTGATGGGGCCTCCTGCTGCTGCCGCCGCGCCGCCGGAGCCCGATTTCTGTTCTTATCCTGAAGCAAAGTTCTTAACCTGAAGCACTATTTCTGGCTTAGTGGAGTGTGTAACCTGAAGCGTATGTAACTTGAAGTGTATGTAACCTGAGGTACTACTGTATCTCCTAGGCACAACTACAAATAAAGAGCAGCCTTTTTACCCTGGAGTCTTGCTGCCCAAGTTGTAGCTGTTTATTTCCAATCAGTATGTGAACTTCATCCTCTCTCGTGTCCCTGCAGTCCCTGACCATGTTTGCCTTCCCTCTCTGCCCATTCTCACTCCCAGTATGTTTAGGAATACAGGAAGCTGCCTTATGTAGCGTCTGTCCAGTTCAGTTTTGTGTACACTGACTGGCCAAACCGTGGCTTATCACAAGCATATGGGTTCCTGGACAGAAGACTGTAGCCAGAGCACTCTTCCCCCAGCCTCCTTGTACTGTTTGACTTAGTTTGTTGACCAAGCCACAAGCAGTAACCCAGGTTTGTTCTTGGGTTTACATCTTGTTGTTTGTCTGGATGAGACAAACTGAGGGAGGAGCGCAGTGGCCAGGATCTCTATGGCAGCTTGTGGGTTAATGGTAAGCCATGGTTTGGCTTAGTTTAATGTGCAAACCAACTCACTATCACATTCCCCCTGTAGGTGTGGACAGGCAGGAGGCCTGCAGGATCATTTAATTTTTACTCAACCCCTGAGGTCCTCCAACCAGAGCAAGCTGCAAAATAGTGGCTTAAGGGAACAGAGACAGATGCAAAATGATGGCTTGGGGACAAAGCCAGTTGCTTGCATATAAAATTAGCTTACCTACATCTGAGTTATTACTGAGACAGGATTCTAACAACCCAGTTTAACAGCAGAAGATATGCAGTTTTGCTATTAACACTGTTAAACATTTGAGAGTCAGAAACCTTTGACAATCTAACTGAAAATATGCCAGGAGATCCTGATCTGCTTCCATCCACCTGATCCCAGTGTAAGGGATTGGATGTTGGGCTTGGATTTGGGATTAACAGGTTCAATGCCTAATCAAGCACACGGCAGAATTATGAGGATAAAATGAGCTGCCTTGAGCTCCTTAGAGGATAAGCATGTTAAAAAACCTCATTTTTAAACTAAAAAATCAGTATAAGTGTCTCAGCGTTCTCCAATACAATCCTTTGTGTATTTTGCAGAACTTTTGCCATTGAAGAAAAAGTGGCTTATCAGACTCCATATACGTTTCTGTTTTACATTCACATATC